CGATAAGATCCGAGCCTCAACCCGATATATCTCACCATCTATCCTCTTATTACCACCATTTCCATTCTTTTCGTAACTATCATAGATCTTCTCCAGCTTTAATTGCTTGCTCCACCCTCTCGCCTATGATAACAATATCGGTAAAGTTGGTTGAAACATTACCAATTAAATACTCAAAGTAGGGGCTTTGAAAGTATTCAAAAATATTGAGATCAACTCATATTCTTTCAATGGTGGATGGATTCGAGCCGCTACCTCACGCCATCTTTGAGCATACTCTTTAACGGTTTCTTTAGCTCTTTTCTCCATACCTTGGAGATCCGAACGATTTGGAGCTACTTTCATGTTAAACTTGTATTGTTTGAGAAAAGCATCGGCTAGATCTTTCCATTTTCTGATCTTGGACCCATCCAATCTCATATACCAACTCGAGGCTCGATCCACCTAAGCTCTCATGGAAGAAGTGTATAAACAGCTTTTTCTTCATGAACCACTTCGCCATCTTACTACGATGAACCCTCGGATGAGTCATGGGACATTGGATTCCAGGTGTACTTGAAGAAATCCGGCACCTTGAACTTGTTTGGAATTGCCACATCGTGCACCAAACACATTTCGCAGGCTTTGATAGGATCACATGTGTCTCCCCTTCTATTGCTCTTAGACGTTCTTCGAGAGCCACTAATCTGTATGTATTCGATCATTCAGCCTATCTTATGACCTTGAGTTGCTTCTTCTGCAGGATCCATAGTAGGCATAGGTGGCATCGGCGGGACTCGAGGGTCCATTGGATAGGCATATGGTCCATCCGGACGTGAGGCTTTAACATGAAATGCCGTATGATAGGTCGTTGGCTCGCATTGATTGGGAAATAGAATATCATGTGGCATTTCAAGTTGTTCTCGTCCTACATTTAAGCTACCTCCCTTTATTTCCTTTAGTAAAGCCTTTATTTGGGTAATCTCTTCTCTCAATGACTCAAGATCTTACCGACAAATTTCTTCCTGTCGTGCTCTCTCCTCGTTCTCCATTTGGCGAGTCCTTAATCTAGTGTTGTGGATGCGTGGGGGAATTGAGCTTTGGTGGAGCAACCTATGTTTCAAAATCCCGAAAAAAAAAAACTCAAAGAACATATGTACAATGAATATACAATATATACATGCATGATTTGAATCTAGGTTAGATACCTTCCTTTATTTAAGGTCCTACAAAAGTCAAGGGTTAGAACGAATATTATTTGGAAATGATTCGTGACTTAATCGAGTCAACCTAATGGATAAGATCTAGCTTTCTATGGATATAGGCAAGGCTTGTCTAATCCCGAAGTCTTTTCAAGTTTCGAACCGTCTAAATTACCAGTAGGATAATTCAGCCTCTTAACGTTATGCATGAAGAGGTAGGGGAAGGTTATTCCACCATTTTCTATGCATAGGGTGAGTTCCAATCCAAATGAGAGTCCGAAAGAGCATCGGTAGACTTTCGTCATACTTGCCTTCGAATCTCTCTATCTAAATGCGAGCGATGGTTTCAGCTCGAGTCCGGAGCTTTTGTAGGCTTTTTTTCGTGGTGTGTGCAACAATTCAAGATAAGCATCCAACTCGATTCAAGATTAAATATGTACATGAATGCAAGAAAAAGAAATTGCATAAAATTAAAATATTTAAAATATATACAAGAAAAAAAAACTCAAAATTAAATGAAAAAATAAATAAATTACTTGAAAAATAATTTACAAAAAATAAACAAAGGAAATAAATTTAAATGGACTAAATCTATGGCCTAACTCAAAGTCCCCGATGGAGTCGCCATTCGTCGTTACTCGACGTCGAACGGGACTCCTAAAAATTAAATTTCTAAATGTGATTAATATTTACAAGTTTATTTACAGAGTTTGGAGTCGCCACCTAGTATTTAAGGAACTAGGAACCTAAAACGGACACTCGGTTCGGTAGATTCTATGGTAAGGAGTTGGTTACGCTTTTGGAAAGATATCGATCACCTAAAGCGCCCTTTTCAAAAAAAGGTACCATGTCCGGTTTAGCTCTAAATTTATCTCCTAAAATATTTTATTTACGTCAAATTATTTTCTGAATTTTAATCTCTCATTTTTTGTTTAGACAAATTGAATGTTTTAGTTTTGAGCGTGGCATCATATTAAAACGATCGTCGGTCCCTTTCATTGGGTGACACATCGGTTCAAACATCGGATCCACTTAAAGCCTTAACACAACCGACGTGTCGGAGGACGTCTTAATTAAAAAGGTGATTTTTGATGACGTCGGTCCCTCTCACGTAGGAGACTTCGTCGAAAATCTTGAATATTCTTTTTGGGTGATGTCGGTCCCTATTAGATAGGAGACTTCATCGAATTTATTTATTTATTATATATTTTATTTTATGGTGTCAGTCCCTATCAAGTAGGAGGCTTTTCGCCAAAATTTGAGACTTTATTATTTTTTATTATTTTATTAATCTAATAAAAAAAATTAAAAAGAAGAAAAGAAGAAAGAAAGAAAAAAATAAAACCTCAATCAATGCGAGGAAGAGGTGACGAAGAAAAAAAATTGGCTAAAAGAGAAAAAAAAAGAAAAAAAGGAAAAAAGAACAATTAAAATATTAAAGGAAATGATTTTGAAAAAAAACAAACTCGTAGCCCATGATAATTTTCTTTCCTACCCAATTCGTTTCCCTTTTTTTTTTTTTATACCAAATGGACCCATTCCGACTTTATCATGCCGTTATTCATTTTTTCTTACTTTCATTCTTTCTTCCGTAAAAGCTCGGACTAGCTCCAGTTTTTCTTGTCATTTTTTTTTTATTTTTCTTAGAGGAAAGGGCGGGGAGGACTGGATTGGAGTCCAACCTCCTTCTTCCTTGTTTTATATATATACATATGGAGAGGGGAAAGGGAATTTGGCATCTTTGCATTTTTTTTATAAAAAAGCCTAAGGTTAGTCTGGACTAAAATAAATCCAGCTTCTTGTCTAAAGCCTAACCCACATTTTTTATTTAAAAACTTCTCAACAAGACCAAGCCCACGTGACCACAATTTGGCACCCGTTTCCCTAATTCCTTTTTTCCTATTCTTCTTTCTTCTCCCTTTTCCCGTTCTCCTTGGATATCAAAACCAGCCACTTTCTCATTTTTATTTTTCGAATGAATTTTATCCCGCAAGAACTGAACAACTTCTTAAAAAAAAAAAAAAACCCAACTACTCGTCATGTTTCTCTTTTAGATTAAAGCAATCATTTTAGTAGAAATTAAGAACAAAAGAATTAGAGAGAGATGACTTACCCGAGTGGTGCTTCAACAAAATGAGAGAAGCCAACAAGAATTTTATGCTATTTGAATTTCTTTGTGTGGTTGCGTTTGACTCCTTTGCGAGTGCTTGAAAACCAACTCGTTATGAAGAAACTCACGGAGCTACTCGAATTCCGTAAAGATTGCAGCAGAGTGCTACTCGCTCCAAGTCCAAAATTCCTATTTTTGTTTGTGATGTATTTTTTTATGCAAACCGAACTCCTCTCGTGTGTTTTCTTTCCTCTATCTCCCTTTTCTCCTCTTTTTTCCACCCCTTCATTTTTTTCAGGATATTGCCCTTTTATAGACATTGAGAATTTGAGTTTCACCTTCAATCAAACACTTTCAAATTCAAGTTTCATCCTAAATCAAATACTTAAAAATTCATATTTTTTAGTTATTCAATTTGAACTCAAATTCTATTGTTGAAAGGTGATCTAATCAAGCTAAACTGAATTTTAAAAACTGGGATAGACTTCAATCTGTTTCTTTTTTTTTTAATTTATTTTTTTTTGGTTTTTTGTATTTGTTTTTTTTTAAATAATAATAATATAGTAAAAAAAAATGAAAGTGCTTTTTTTTTTTTTTTTTTGGTTATTACACCATCCATTCACTATTAACCTAGGTCTTCTCTCTCTCTATCTTTTTGCTTTTATTTATTTATTTTATATTCTAAAATCTCTTTTTCTTCAAATAAAATGATTAAAATAATATTTGAAAAATCACCAAATGATACCATACTTTTCAAATAAGATTAAAAATTTTTTATACTAATATTATTGATTATTTTTTAAATAATAAAATATGAACCTAATATACATCATTTTAATAAATAATTATCTCATGAATATTCAATAAGAATAAAAAAAATCATTTTTATTTGTTAATTTTGATTCAAAAATTTTTTAACATAAATTATTACTTTATTTTTTTTCCAACACAATCTTATAAGAATTATTGAGGCACATTTTTTCTTTTTTACTTCAAATTTCTCTTTAAATAATTGTAAATTTTTATTTAAAAATACACCCATAAGGAAAAATAAATCATGTTTTTTTTTTTTTAAAAAAAAAAAACTTTTTGGGTACAAAAGGGGGATTTTTGCAATATTTTCAGACTTTTGAGTAGTTACTGTAATTTCTGATACTTCAAGGAAATTATTATAATTTGTCCCTAATTTAATTATCTCTTTTGAATAATAATTAAAGATAGTTTGGGTAAATAGGGCTAAAAAGATGGTTTATGTAAATTTTTTTTTTTTTAAATATGAAGGGATTTTTTATCAAATATTTAAACTTTTGGATGATTATTTTAATTTCACAATACATTAAATGAGTTACACAATCTTAAGCATCGATCAGACTAGTCACATCCCTAAAATGTAAACCAGGTAATGGACTAAGTGAACTCAAAGAGGTTGCTGTGTCATAAAAACAACCAACAACCTCTAAGTGAATTTGCTCTTAGTGTCCAGCAATCAGTTAATTTTATGGTATAGTGTATAGGAATCATAAAAAAAATAAATATGGAACTTCGGGATTTCAAAATAGGCGTAGTTTGACAAGATCAATGAAAAATATCTATTACTGGCATAATTAAAGGAAGGAAATACAAAGATACATTAAAAAAAAAAAAATGGAAGTAGTAATGTCTGAATGAAGAGGAAACTTTTGAGGAAAAGAAGCATCCACAACAATTTATTATATGTTAATAAGAGTATCGATAAGATTGTGGTTGCCAATATGAAGTACTGCTTGAAACCAATTTGGCATTCCTTGAACTGTAATATCCCTGAAGGTTCCAGATCTTGGATCATAAGAAACCAGAGCTCTGCACTTGTATTCCAATAAAATCTCACCATTTTTCAGACGGCATAGGACTCTGACGAATGATCTTTTCGAATAAAATTTTGAAATGTTGAACGAGCAATCTACATCTTCCTCCAACCCCCTTGGCGGATGAGTTCCAATGCTGAATTCTTTAATCCAAGACTCTTTCACACCATATTCTTTCATAATCCAAATCTCAAATAGTCCATCTTCACGATAAGCAGCTACAGAAAGACATCCGCCTAAGACTGTCAAGTTCCGAACGTGAAACCTTGCAGAATTAGGTTTCTGAACCTCTCTAAATCGTTCATCAGCCAAGTCAAATGAGACAATCAAGCGACCAGGGCAATGAGGTGATGTGAGCGGCCAACTGACCCAATGAAGCCTTCCATTAACCAAAACCTGAGAAGGCGATCCAAATAGATGGTAAGGTACTCGTCCTACACTTCTCCAAGCAGGGCTGCCTAATGTTAAAATTTTGATTTCTGATCGCTGAGGTAATGCACAGATATACGGTGATCCAGCCCTTGTACCATTCCCGATCATAACCACCTTGTAATCTTTTGTTGTCGGATGGAAACCAAATTCAAATGCTATCCATTTGTCCGAATTTGAAGCGGACTTAGGCAGCTCAATGCAATCACCGGTAAAGGGATTGTACACATGGAATGTACTCTTCGATAATGAATCGCATAAGCATAGCCAGCCATTACAAGAGCCTATTACATCAAACTCAGGAAATATCTCAGGTACACAAATTTTCCTAACCATCCCAACATTTTCATTGTGGGCATAAAAATGTACAGCATACAGCTGGTTGCGGATGGGATAGTCGCTGTGTAAGATGAGACAGGGATTATTCTCAGGTTGACGGGTAAAATGCATATCAACAAGAACTGGATCTTGAACTAAGTTGCGCCATGAACAACAAACGAGCTTAGCGTTATGTAAGGATGTTGTTGGTAGTCTTGAAAGTATGTCGAACAAAATCTCGCGTGGAAGACTCTCCATGGTGTTTGCTTACTCACATTTTTCCCTAAGAAATTGATTGCCTGACACGAAGATATATATTGGAAAAGGAAAAGCTTGGAGATGAAAACAAAGTTGGAAATGCCGTACGCAAGGAACTTCCATTAGAATAATTTTAAGTATGGAGAAGACAAAATTAGGAATTAGATGCTTAGGAAATGAGCATTGTAATTGATCTTATCAAATTAATCGCTTGTCAATATATAAATCATAGGCGGCTCTTCAGATTACAGTTGCTAATAAGGACAGACATGAAAGGGAATGCGCTCAAGACAAGTGGAGTGCTGTTTTTTTGCGATTTTTGCTCACAGCCACCCTTGTAAATCTCTATCATATGATTTTTATAATGAAATTGGGCCATCTTTGATGTCTTTGAGAAGCACAATAAGTCATGGTTTGCAAAGCCACTGCCGGATGTTTGATAAACCGGCCATTGTAATGTACCTAAACAACTGCTACTATGCCATGCATTTAGACGTCACTTGTTACCTCTAAATTTAGGCACTTCTTCTCTGTAGTTGTAGTAGTGTGATTAAGTTTAGCTTCCTACTTTTTTATCTTTCCTCCTATTTGCTGTACTCTTGTCTTTCTGATTTCTATATTATCTCACTCATGAAACTCTATATAACTAAGACATCAATATATACCATTTAAACCATAATTCATTACTTAATTATTACGAAATTCGTGCTCTTGCGTTCGATCTTTTTCCGTATACGATATATTAGAGATACCAACAAGAAAAACTAGATTAAGGAAAACTGACAAACTTGACAGAAAAAATGAAGTATTTCAAATTGAAACATGGATGGACCTAGTTCGGGTACAAACTCAAAAGGAGCATAAATTGATGTCAACAAATTTGCAATACTAATTAATTCCTTTTGAAAAGAAGAAATTAAATTCAGTAACCCTCAGGCTTGTAGGCAATGAAACTAATGCATTGCACTTGACGAACATTGTCAAAGCCAATGATCCTAATGAAGGCAGTAGGGTAAGCTTTAATGGCCTCATCAAGCTCTTTCAACACTTGCACCGCATCAGTGCATCCAAACATGGGCAGCTTCCACATTGTCCAGTAGCGCCCATCATAGTATCCAGGTGATCTGTGGTTCTCACGGTAAACAAATCCTTTCTAAAACAACCAAAAAAAAAAAAAATTGGAAATTAGCTACCGTTCTCAATAACTTTCTTTTTTGGGCATTGTTTTTTCTTAATAGAAATGTACCTCTAACTCGAACTCCAAGCAAGGAACCCATTTCTCACGAATAAGGTACTCAATTTCGTTGGCCAGTTGCTCCCGGGTAAGGGGTTGGAGGTATGAGAGTGTCTCGTACTTCTTTAAGCCAACTGGCGGCCATACCTATATATATACCAGCAGAGAATTCATTAATTAACCTCTCAAATCATGCAATTACTTATTCTTATGGATTTTAATTTTTTCTTCGTCTTTATGATTTTGGGGTGCATTGTGGTATACTATTAAGCACTCCAATTCTTCCAATCTGAAGTCTTCCTTCCTCAAGTACTATGGATTTTGATTACTTTAGTAATTTGTAATGTCAAGAACATACAACAACAATGCGACACTAAAATTCGAACATGTATATTGATAGTAAATTTATTTAAAAATCAGCTTGTTTAATTTAATATTTATAAAACATTGATTCAGTACAAGTATACTTATGGTTGGTAATTAGTTGAGAAGGATTTGTTACAAAGCAAGCAAGCAGTACATTTTGAAGATACTTCTTTTGGCGAAATTGTACTTGATCATTCTTTACAACTATAATTATGAAGGAATTTGTTAAACTATGAAATGATAAAAGATAAACTTCTACGCACAATAAGTAAATATATACATATAGAGTAATGCAAATAAATTTATTAAAGTAGAAAAAGACAATAAATTTAGACTCTTTTTGATCTTGTCTAAAAGTAAGACACAATGTTGGAAAGTAAGAAGCATGAAATGATCTAAAATAAAAATCTTATAAAGAAAGGTAAAATCTTCATTTTACATTTGTTTTGCAATACCTACGTAAAATGTGACTCATATTCTTCAAATGTCTTTAATCTGGCTCTCATACCAGTTTTAATGTGTTTTTTTTTTTTTTCCCTTCAAAGATAATTGTAATCACAGTATTTTTTACCTATGTTCTTATAATTAGAAGTTGTAAGGCAATGAGTATTACATTTGTCATCAGCATTACATTTAATTGTAATGTATGCTTTGGTTACCTTCATGCATTGAACCCTGCCACCATTGCTAGCTAGAGAGGTGATGTCAGTTGTCTTTTGGGCGATAGGGAAAGCACAGGTGGACTTGAGGCCAGTGAATGGTGCCACCATGGTAGCTTGAGCTGGGGTAGCACGGTTGATGCTAGCAAAGGTTGCTGTTGAGAACACAGAGGATGCCATTTTTAATTTTCTTCTCTCTCTCTCTCTCTCTCTCTCTCTTGTAGCTATAACACACACAGGCCTGCCCGTGTTCTATGACCCCCGTCATTTATAGATAGTAACACCAGCAAAACATTCCTATCTGGCTCGATACTGCTCCATCTAATGGCTGCCATCTGGTGTTGCAAGGTTTTTGGGCATACTGGCCGTTGAATCGTTATTTTTGATGACATAACACCATGATGGCCACACATGGAAGGTAAAGATTGGATGTTAACCTTATCGTCAGGCACCCCTCTCGAGTGCTACATGGAAAATGGGTCCATAACCTTATCTCATCTTTGCACTGTGGGAAGGGAAGGTTGTGACTGTGGAAAAGGTTTATGGCCCTTCATTTGGAGACTAGGACTTTCCATTTGCATGGAGATATTTGGATCCTTGTGGTATATTACAAAATTACCCATTTGGAATGTCTGCTATTTAATTTCTGCATTTTTGGAGGGATGTGGAAATTTTAGACTTTCATCGAGGAATTGAAGGATGTGAAATTTTACAAATTATTTTATCATAGATTAAAAAAAAAAAAAAAACTTGTAAAATCGAAAAGAACTTTGTGGAATGAAGGTACATATATGGTATGTTGCAGGTCATGGGCTGAAGGGTCCCCTACCTTGGACCATACAATTGTACCAGTATTTCTACGACTATGCTAAGAATTTAAAAGTGAACTTTCCAGATGTTCTTCTCTTTTTATCAAAATGTTATCTAATTTAAAAGAACACCTAAAATATGTTAGATGTTAATTTATTGTTTTTATGTTGAGATTGTTAATGCTTTATGCTAATACTTTTATTGCTTATAAGTGCTGAGCTTATTTCAATTCCTACTATATTTGTCTCTCTTTTTCTCTTGAAACTCGATCATATTTCATGACCAACTTGTATCTAAAGTTAAGCAAGTTTGTTTATGCGTTCTGAATTAGCTTTGTGGGTCAATTTTTGGTGGACCATCGCATCCCTCGCTGAAAGTTTTGGTCTTGCGTAATATAAAATCCATATTTGTGGCTACAAATAATATTGTATCAAAATAAATAATTTCCAACAATAGTTATTTGCGTAGCTTCTATGATAATCATCCCCCAAAAAATTGGTATATTGAAGTTGAATGGGATTTGGTTCCTTGCGAAGTGAAAACATGTGGTGTTGCACCTTGCAAAGGAAGAAAAGAAATAGAAAGAGGTTGCTGTTTAGAGGAACGGAGCTGGTGATCCAAATTTGCTGCCCCATTCACATCACAATTTGTTGCTATTATGTTACTACCTCCCAGTCACGATCTTATTCATAACCATGTCGAAAGGAAATGAAACCCTAGTTCGTTTCTGGCAATTTAGAGCAGCCAAGATAACCATCAGTGAGACACATGACATCCCCTTCAAGTTGACAAACTTCAAAATAAGATCCTCAAGCAGTGAAGCTTATGTATTTTACTTGCAGACCATTTTCCTTCAGCACAAGTTATTTTTAGTCTTGATAACATGAACATGACAGAACAGTCGGAAAAGCAAATATACAAATATGTGCACATAATAATTCTTTGCAGGAATTTACAATCTGATCAATTTCAGAGAGTATATACAACACTAATATTTTGTTGCTTCGGTTAGAAGTAAATACAAAACTGTCCCTTTGTAGGAATCTGAAATGGGAGGTTGAAAATTTATAACTTGTAGAGGGGATAGAAGCCTCAACACTACCTATCACTGCGTGAATAAAGACATGAATTAACTGATATGAAGAAATCAATGTATAAAAAATAATCTTGAAAAACTCAAAGAATCACTTCTAGTTTACTGCCACCGCTTTGGAGGCTTGACTAAGTTGGAAGTGCCAGTTTTCTTAATACCTGAAAGAACCAGTTATGGAAAATTTTAAGAGAGAAACTAAATTATAATCACTACGGAAAAAAGTCTGCTCATTTCATCCACCAAATATATATTACTATCTAATTTTGCTTACTTGCTGACGCTTTTGTGTTGTCCCTTGCCACAGTCACTGTCTTTGATGTGGTTGGCGTTTGGGTTTGTAGGAGTCTAATAGTAGATGCCACTTTACTCCTGCATAAAACCAAGTTCAGAAAATCCCATGTTTGCAAATGTATCTACTTTACTGAAAATTGAAAGTCTCATGCTTTAATATCTCCACAGTCCACATGCATATGGTAATAACGGAGATAAATGCCAAAACACCCATCCTCTTTTTCTCTTAATGTGTTAAGCAAGTTATTGCATTCAAAGGATTGTCATACTATCAACAAAACACCTCCCTTTCGTTTTGAAAGAAAAATAATTTTTTTTTTTTTGAAGACGAAACAATCAAGTCAAAAGAATCTCAAGGAATTAAGCACAAAAAGGACAAGAAATATGTTACTCACTTCCGCAATTTCTGTGATAGTTTTGTGCCTTGATCCGTTGTGTCATCAGGCTCTGCTTCCACTGAAAGAGCACCATCAGAAACGTCACTTAATCTATCCTCATAGTCTCCATCTTCAAATCTTAATATCTCAGCATCTTTGAATGACATATCCTGACCTGTGTCCCCTTCAGAAAGTTTTGATTGCTGGGAACTGGCTTCAGAATGCTTGTCACTATACTCTGAATTGCTTTCCTGATTAGAACCTGTCTCACTTCCTATGCTTTTCCTGTCTGATGGTTTTTGGGGTCTTGGAATAACACCTGAAGAATCATTGGTTGCAGAGGAATTTCCATATCTCACTGAGCCAGGATACTCGTTTTTGAGATCTTTAATTAACTGCAACTGCTCAATCTCATCATCTTTTTTTGCAATTGTGTCTTTGAGAGATGCCAACTGCATGATGAATAGAAATTTCATTAAGCACTAAATTACATGTGCTATAATATAAATTCAGCTTCTAAAACATGTTTATTGACTCCTGGTGCACTAATTACATGTACCTTTTTCCCCCTTTTCTTGGATGGAAGATGAAATGAAGTTCATCTATTAAGCCACTAACGGACATAAATGGACTGTATAAGGTTATTTTGGCCCACAAAACCATTAGTTGCTAATCAGGCATCTAATGTTTGTCAAAGAACTATATGACTCCTGAATGTTATCGAGAGTTCAAAGTTCTTTGGGCACCCTTTGAGTTAATGTGACCAAGAAATGACGAAATCTGTTTAAACCAAGCTAATCAGCAAATTATTTCTTTTCTAAGTTTGTTAAGATTTCCATTATTTGTTAGGACTAAAACATCAGCAATATCAGACTGAGTTTACACTGTTCTAATAGAATGATGAAACAGCAGAATAACCTAACAATTAGAACTTAGTAATTTACCCCATCACACTCGATGCTGAGAACTCAGATAGTACAACGCATAACAAAATCTTATAATTACTCTGTTTGTGTTTTATGGCCATTTCATTGATTTTCCAAGTTGAAGATACTATAGACTAAGATATAAATCATAAATCAACAAAAAATAAAAATAAAAATAAAAAAAGCACTCTTTAATTCCAAACATGTAGTTTCAGATGAACCAATAAAGGTACATTTCCAGATAAATCAAGGAGCTACTGGCATTTTTAATTTTCAAACTTTCTCATGTGTCTTTCCATTTCCTCTATAACCTTGATGTATTATTTGTAATTCAATTGATTATAAATTGAAATATGATACCAAATACATAAATGAACCAAAATAGACTATAGCATAGATTTATCATTTTATAGCACTTAATATCCAGTCCAGGATCAATGGATCAGCAACATGCAAAAGGTTTCGAGTAACTTACGGCAGCTGCATATTATTTTTTGTAACTCTAATAGGCCAAAAGAAATTCCATGTCAATCGTTATGAGCCAAATTCCTTCATAATATTAATAGTTTCTTTGTAACATAGTATAGAATGAAAACTCAATAATCAGAATAACCAAACTCGTTCTAGATCGTAACTTACAAAATCCTAGAAGAACGAAACTTCGTGTTTAATTTTATTTTGGTTTCTGTTTGTGGGATTTCTACCATTCAACATTCACATATTTCTATCCGTATTCATTTGAATTTGAATTTATTAGAGAGACAAGCATAATTGATTATTGAGTTCATATAGTTTGTGTTCATTGTTGTTCTTAGTTTCCCCTTTTTGCTTCTTTCTCTATACCTCAATTTTCTTCTTTGTCCCACATCCTATACATCTATCGGTAAGAATGCATGATAGTTGACTTTTCTTGTAAACTCATAACTTCACGTCAAAATATAAGTAAAATGGATGGTGAATAACTGAATCCATTGAGTTCCATCCAGAAATCTGATATAATGAAGGAAGGTATTGTACATAACATCAGAAACAAACCTGGTCCATTAATTCCCTAACATCTCTGCCCTCTTTGCTGCTTCGTGCTGCACCTAGCTCAACCCCAGAGACCCTCTCTGCAAACTTCAGAGTGCTTACAGTTTCGGAATATGAACTAACATCAGGATTGAGCTGTACAAACATAAGCGTCTTCGCATGACCCCCTGTAATGTGAAAAAGTAAGAAAATATACACTTACATTAAGTCTAAAGGTAGTTTACCCATGCTTTCAAGAAAGGTCACCAGCATATCCAACCAGGGAATAACTTGAAGGCAGTTTGTGACAAGAGGTTCAAAAAAAAAGCAGTACCTAAAGAGCTTTGAAGGAGTTGAGTGAGCTTGCTGTTTCTATATGGTACATGAGAATTCTTTTGTGCAAGCGCGAAAATAACATCTCCAAGGGCAGATAATGATTTGTTTATGTGTTGTGCTTCCCTAAGTCTATCTCCAGTTGCCTCTGAGCGATCTACCCTTTCGCTCCCTGCTAGATCCACTAAATGAAGATTACCATGTAAAACAGCACCGGAATGCAAATCCTTTCCACAAACATGGATACTGACAACGCTGTGTACAGATAAAAATCAAAATTGCAATTAAACTTTAAGATAACTGTAATATAGAGGTAAAGATAAAACGAAGACCGAGTGTAAGTACCTATGGGAGCGGCTACTTCTTTCATTCATGGCAGTGGCTCCAACAGCTCTGTTTTTCAGTCCAACATCCATTAATTCTAACACGTCTGAAGTTGATGTAACAGGATGCATGCTAGCATCTGGTACAGCCAAACCATTGGGTTGGACGGTAGACAAGATCCCAATTGTGTGCAAATCAAGGGAGACAAAATATTTGAGAGTATTGTACTCTTCATTCAAATAGTACACATCCTCGAAAGAAATAAATGCAAAATTCGACATTTCTTTAATGAATCATAACTTAAATCTGAAATTTGTAAAGGATAAAATGAACTATCCTGGTTAAAATCAATGTTGTCAGTTAAATGACCGAGAAAGATTGCCTTGTGGATTTGATAAAAGAGATAAAAACCAAACTAAATTGTAACAATCTGCGTGATATGTTGATTAGATCAGAAGCACCAAATGTAAAAGGATATTTTTTCTGAGAACCATTGCTCAGTAAATCGCGAACTTGTTCGTTATATATTTCAACCATCTGAACCTGAATCTCGTACATAAAGGAGCCATTTCTTCTTTGAGAAATACTGAAAAGGTCATTTAGAGCCCGATAATTAACCCCCCAATTCTCTTCAGATGCTCCATTAGGACCAGACTGGAATAGAAGGTCAAGTTGAATTAGAATTGCTTGAAAAAATTAATGCATGAAAATGAAACTGAACACAGAGACATGCGCGTCAATAACTCATACCATTGTGTAGGTTTTTCCCGAACCAGTTTGTCCATAAGCAAAGATACACACGCTATATCCATCCAGTACAGAACGTATCAATGGTTGAGTGTCTGAATATACCTCCGCTGCCAATATCCAGAGAAGATAGCATGTTAGAGATGACAAGAATTTACTTCCACATTCGTGCCAGTAGAATGTATAAGCACAAAAACAATATAGCATCCTCAAGTAAGCCCTATCCAAGTTGAAAAGGATGTAGAGATGAAAACCTTGAGTAGAATCTGGACCAAAGACCTTATTGAACTTAAAATTGCGACGTTTATCTTTCCCTTGCTTGGAGGGATTCACAATAGCCAACTCTCCATGTTCACCTATATATTCTACCGTTGTTTGTTTTGCAGCCTGCCCTGGAAGAAATGGCCTTATCCGGCAATAAACTCTGATGTTTCCTGTGAAACAAAATGGAAAAATTACATTTTAAAGATTTCACCCACATGTAAACCTCATACAGCAAAGGCTAGAAGTGGCACCTTTTAATTCCTGAAGCTCATTAAACATCCTCCTATTTTCAGCAAGGACTATGTGATAGCTCCTGGTTGAATCAATTAATGCTTTTAACTTTGCTCCTGAGCAAGATCAAAACTACATCTTCAAAAAACACGCGATCACTGATCGAATAAATTGATAAACTCTACTAATAGCCAACCAACCTAGTCCATTGAATTCCTCCAAATAACTTCTTTGTACTTCGAAAATTTCATGTTTGATGGACTTGGAGGACGACCTCAGTTCCTGAACGTTTTCATAAATTCAGTTAGATTTATACGAAATGATGCAAGGTTAAAAGACTACATAGTTTTATTATACCTGCAGGGCACCAAATTGAAACTCAACAAAGCCCTCAAAGATGTGCTCTTTCTTGTTGAACATCTTAGATTTTGACTCAGAATATGCCTCAAGCACTTTCACTTGGTTCTTCGAATCTTCCAAGTGAAGTTCAAGCTCTTTTAATCTCTCCTCAAGACCTGCTTTAGCATCCTTATATTCTGTTTCCATTTGCAAGCGATGTAGTTCATGTTTCTGCTTTGCTAATTCAAATTCTTGTTTCAAGGCTGAGAGTTCAAGAACGCTTTGTGCCCTCTCTTTGATCAACTTAGCTACATGCTCCTCTTCAAGTTTCTTCTCTTCTTCCATTTTGGACTTCTCAAACTGTAATGAGAAAAAAATCACATTATATGAATATTATGAAGAACATCCACACAACAAGTACAGGAAACTGATTTTTTTCTCTCTCTCTGTGTTTTTATTTTTATTTTTTGGATGGTGCAATGCACTCATCCTAATAATTCCTAAACTGGTCGACAGAAATAAAAGAAAAATCGAAAGAAACCCAAAATAGAATATATTCATGTAGCCTGGCTAACAGCTTAAAGTAGTCAATCAAAATAGAACAAATCAAAATCTGTTAGGAGTGAGGACACACTAATCCACCAGAAATTTTTTCAACAACAAAGGACCAAATATTAGAAGTAGTATGAGAAGAAGATAGATAAAGAATGGTTCCAGCAATTGTGATAAGTACAAGCAGTTCAATGAGCAATTTACAGTGTAAACAACATCAGAATTGTTTTTTCTCGTATTTGAAACATACCTTTATTTGTTGAAGCTGATCCATAATAACCTGCAAAAGTATTAATATCAGAAAAACAGGTATAAACACACTTTTTGGGAAAGTTTGTACCAATCCTATTGTCTAAAATAAGTTTTTTTCCATACCCCTCTCTCTTCACCAGTCCCAGAAGCGAGGGCTTCAAGTACTCTGATTCTCGACTGATACTTCTCCTCACGAGCCTTAAATAGATTATTTTGCTGAAGGCAGAGAAGCATAAAGATACTGCCATTGGCGAAGCCAATCCAAGGAGAAACAATTCAAAATTAAAGAAGGCAAAACGATTCTTACAGTTCTTAAGTGTTCTGCTTGAGTTGATATACGTCGTTCAATCTCTTGTACAACTTTTCTCAACAGACTAGCCACACGCTGTGAAACAAAAGGAATGTTAAACGATGCCTATAAAACTATTCAAGTGTATGTATCCATGCAAGAACACACAGTAGTTGCAGACATACATAGATACAGAACATATTCAATATACTGAATGTTACACCATTATTTCCTCCCATTGCTTACATGTGGTATTTCGTCACTCTTTCTTTCAATGCTTTCATCCAATATTCCGTTCACAACACTCAAAAGTGACTGAGTTGGTGCATTCTGTACACGAGATGTTGAAATGTTATTAACAAGGAGCTCAGAATAAAAAAAAAAATCAATGAGGAAATTGTAACATAAGAAAACATGAATTTTCAATTAATTTTCATCAATATAGTAGAATTGAAAACTTACATCCAAGCTGTTCGATTTCATCATTTCGGAAATTTTTGCAGCAGAAAGATCTGAATAGCGGCCTTGTTTCAGTTGAAACACCTCATGGAACTTATGTCCAACAAGGTGCATGGATGCAGCTGATGGCTCTGCGGAATATGAGAAAAACATTAAAGATGGACTAATTAAATTTCAAAAACAGCATACAAGACTTGGTAGACTTATAATAACAATAATTTATCTGCATTTTAGTCATTAAGGTATTAGAGGAAAATAGAATGATATTTTCATATAGCATAAGATCAGCTTAAAGGTTGCTTATGGTACAGCACTTGACTCTTCATGCCCAACCCTTTTAAGCCAATCAATGTGCACATATGAAAACCATATAGTTTGATCAAGGGAGAGAGGAATCTGTACCTGGCATAACAGGACTTCGAAAAGGTTGTTGATATTTTGAATCTGGAGAAAACTTACGCTTTTCTTCCCCAAATGTTGGAGAAAAAAGGCCATTGGAAGATGCATCCCCATGAGGGTTGCCATATTTAATTCCACTCGTGGGAGAAAGATTACCTCCCATATATACGAATTGTGCTCTGAGTGTTAAAAGGCAATCTATAACATTCTTCATAGAGCCCTGCAGATTTCAAACAGTGGATGGAGAGAGAGAAACTTGAAGAACAATAAAATCCTTCACGTGCACAGATGAACGAGTGATAAAGACAAGCTCTAGTTGACAGCAATATTGTTGTTCAAAATTGTGGCGATGCATAGAAGCTGGTAAAATCATGAACTTTTTGGTTGCAGGAAAGCGTAATTATAAACTTACTTCTTAGTTAGCATTCAAATATTCATGCATAAAATCAATTTATGGGGAACAATAGAGCAGACTAACGTTGGATTACCTTCTCTAGATCAGAGAATTCGAACTTGAGAATCCCCAAGTCATCCATACCTGCCAGAAACTTCTTAACATTTTCTGAGCGAGAACTACCTGCCTAAAATAGAAAATGCACTATCAAATCAACTAACCAAATGCCTATTCATCCACTCATAAACAACTCAGACAATAAATATCAAAACAAATAAGCAACCTTGTATGTATAGCCAGGTCTGAGCCTATTTAAAATCTGTAGTAGAACAGTGCCATCAATCAAGCAGGCTCGCAACTCCTCGGATGAAGCTTTTAGTGGCAAATATATTTCAGGAACAATACTGTTTATCCACTCCACCAATCCCGCTCGCTGATTGGCTGGAGATAGGGCAAAAAGGTAGGGAAAACAAAGAAGAAATTCAGTTCAAATGAATGAAACAACTGCAGATAAAAGGAAAATAAGTTTTTTACTTGCCTTCAATTTCGTCACTACGAATTACAGTTGGTTCAAAAACATCCGAACCACCAACCTTTGAGCGATTGACACTCCCGAATTGTATAAGGCGATCCGAAGCTGAATTCATTGTTTACCTTTGAGGTCAATTATGAAAGCATGGCATATGCATAATTCCTCACAATTTTCCAGAGCAGTCCTGAAAAGAGATTAAATACAACCATCACGAGACTGATTTATGCAAAATGATAAAGAAACATGCAATAATGAATTAAAATTCTAGCCATTTTTTTCTGCATAATATGAAATTTTATGACAATAACTTAATGAACTGCAAGAAAAACAAATCCTTTAACCATGAGAAGGAAATGCAAATTAACATCATCAAATCAAACACTGTTTCATACAAATATAACTAGAGACTAGATACTCTATCCTTTCTGATTAATTTCATATTCGTGACTCATTTCATCTTTAAGGTGAAAAAGGGAAAGTTAAAAGAAGAGGGCAGGCATCAGGTTATACTTTTACTCATTAAAACTAGAGCGTACGACCTCCAAGAAGATTGACTACCAGAAAAATTGACAAAAACTGATGAATTTGAACAAAATGAAGATATAAAATCCATGCAATATGAGATAGAATCATCCCATTGGAAAACTTAGCAAATCAGGATTGCCACAAAGAATGAGCAAAAGGTAAAAAAGAAAAACAAAGGAAAGAAACCGAATTACTATATATATGCACACACTTATAATGAATGAGCTAAAAGATCAAAATTTTATAAGAACCCAGATGAAAATTACCAAAAGTAAGACAAACAAACAACACAATGCAGGTAGATTCAATAAATGATGACAGACAATGCAACCATCAAATAAAGAAAATCCAAATAATAAACAAAATAGATTCAATAACAAAGAAGAAAAGAAAAAGAAGCCACCTGAGAGAGGGAGACGTGAAGCTATGCAATGCACACGTTGTTTTAAGGTCAAACAAAAAGGAAACTTGGATATAACTTGGTCATGTCATGCGAGATAGTGTTATTAAATTAGACAACCACAGGTACAAGAACAGGAATTAAAAAAATTCGAAAAAAAAAAATCATACTTTGTTTTCTTTTCTTTCTTTTTGTTGTTGTTGTTGTGTTAATCAAATGATTGCGATTTTGTTCGGTATTCCGTGCAAATGAAAGAGAAAGTGCGTAAAAAAAGGAGTGTAACTCTCCCCTTAACCCTTCTCATTTATTTTCTGTGTGGTGTTCATTGAAATGTGGAAAGTGGTCTTTTGTGTTCCATGCCTCTTAAGTCTCCCAATTAACTGTGGTTTGTTGGAGATTATATGTCGTTACAACGATACTACTATCTAGTACTTATCATCATTCAAGAAAGGGAAATGATTAGGAGTTGGTTTGCCGTTTGCTTCTTGACTTATCGAGATCAACAATGAAACCAACATTTGGAGGAATTATTTTTTTTTTTTTTTAATAAATTCACTAAATCAACGTAAGAGATATACTCATAGGATCGTAATTCTTGTAATTTTATTTGGTGGATTTTTATTTTCATTATTTTTTGTGGTTTGGATATACTTTTCATTTATTAAATTTATTTTTATTCTTTTATTTAAGAAGTTTTAACCAACAAACCTCAAACTCATCTATGTATTTATATCAATTCCATAAAAGATTTGGTTATAATTTACTTTGTGTTTGCAATTTTTTTTTTTTTTTTTTTTTGAATTTGGATATACTTTTCATTTATTAAAATTTTTTATTCTTTTAATTTATAGGCAATTTAAGAAGTTTTGAGGAACAACCTTAAATATATCCATATACTTGTATCAATTCCATAAATTAACCCCTATAAAAAAGATTTGGTCAAAATTTACTTTGTGTTTGCAAAATTTTTCAATTTGTTCCAATCGAACTAAACTACAAGTTGATTACCAATTGTAGAAGATACTTAAGAAATAAACAGATTAATTATCCTAAAAATATAATTTTCCAAAATAATTAATAATTTTTAAAATATTAATGCTGATTTTTTTCTTTTTTTTTATTTCCTACAAATTTTTTTTTGTTTTATTTTATTTTAAAAAAAAATTTAAAAAAATTCTTGAAAAAATAAAATTTTTCAAAAAAAAAAAAGAAGAAGAAAAACGTTAAGAATTTTTTATTCTTTCGCTTTTTAAAATTTAAATTTAAATTCTCTCAAAATTAATTAAGTTTTTATTTCTTAAATATTTTTAAAAATTTAGTTTGGTTTAGAATATACTATTTCTTTTATTCATAAACATTCTCAAGAGTTTAAATTTTTTTTTTTTTAATTTCTTACACATTTTAGGTGTCATTTGGTTATATAGAATGAAAGGTTTAGAATGAGAATGCAAAATAAGAATAAAAATTAAAAAATTAAAATAGCATTTGCATCCTTATATTGTGTTTGGAATAGAAATAAAAAATTAGTATAAAATTTAAATTTTTAATATCTAGTTTTTAAGAGGAATAATAATAATAATAATAATTAAAAAAGTAATTTTATCAACTACGATTATAATAAAAATGATAAAGGTGATTGTGGTGGAAGAGTAGGAAGAGAAAGAGGTGGTAGTAATAGCAGTATAATAATAGCAATAATATATTTTAAAAAAAATTGATACCGCTAACATAAGATTTGGCATTAAAAGAAGAGTGGTGCTGGTATAATAAAAGTGATAATAGTGGTAGAGAAGAAGTGATGAAATAACAACAACAACAACATTTTTTTTTTGAATTTTTTTAACACCATTATTGTCGCTACCTAATATTTAGGAGACTTTTAAAAAATTATGAATGCTAAAGGGAAAAAGAATTAAGAAAAAGATTTTAGAGTCACCACCTAGTATTAAAACTAACTAGAAACCTAAAAACGACATTAGATTCAAAGATTCTGGTTAAGGAATTGGTTATGTTTTTGAAAAGATAACAATCACCTAAAAACATCTTTGTAAAGGAAAGTTACCATATTTGATTCAACCCTATAAATATTTCCTAAGAATTATATTTGCCGAATTATTTTCTAAGTTTATTTCTAAGTAAATTTGTAGTTTAAGTCAAATTGATTTTTTTTTGTTTTGTTTTTGGCACCGTATTAAATTGATGTGGAGCCTCAAGGTAAGGAGTCACATCAATTTAGCTTTGGATCTAATTACTTCCTAACATAATTAACATATTGAGAAACCACCTAATTAGTTAAATGTGTCAAATTACAACATAAATGCAAAAAATGATTTTTTTAATCTTTAAATTTATTTTCAAGTTTATTTGTCTAAATTAAAAAAAAAAAGATTTTTATTTTTTTATCATAGAATCATATTAAATTAAGTCAGTCTTGAGTTTGGAAGTCTTATCAATTTAGCATCGGATCCAATTAAAGTTATGAAATGATTGACATGCCGAGAAATGACCTAATTAACTAAAAGTATTTATTTGGATGTGGACAAAAAAATGTTTTCAAAATTGATTCTTTTATTTCATTATTTATTTATTTTTTTCATTTTGTTTCAAATAAAATGTTTAGACCACCATCGACTTGTCCCTAATAAATAGGAGACTTGTTGCCTCGACCTCACGACCGAATAAAAATCCATACATTAAAGTAAAATTTATAAACTAAATATTTTTACACTTCTAACTCACATAAAATTAAATATTATTACAAAATGACATAATAAAATAATTTTAAAAGGGTAAGAAAAAAAATCGAATGGTCACTAAAAAAGAACAATATGCCCTTGGAATGTCGTTGGAAGATGATGAAAATACCTTTGTTTTTGAAAAACAACAAAATTGCCCCTAGTGTAAAAAATAATAGAATTGCCCTTACTTATTGTCAAAGGTCATTATAGCTCGTTCGGCCACCAATTAGCACGTTGATAACTTCAACATGTATGGGATGATCATGTAGAGTTGTTTGTTTTAGTGGTGACGATCATCGCCGCCTCGAGGGAGGAGATCGGCGATCAATAATTTTTGGTCAATCTCCTCCTTCTTCTCTAGTCAATTTTGATTGGATTTAATGACTTTTAAGGTTTAAGATCTAAGGATAACAACTCCTATACCTGCATGAGCTTCGATCCGGCCTTTAAATGGTATAGTTTGGTTATAAAATGAGAGATTTAAATGGATCTAAGTCGTGGGTTGGGTTTGTCTTTCTTGGCCAAATTCTAGCTTATTTCATCTTTTCTTCCATAATGTTGGGCTTAGGAAGGTTGTTAGAGGTAGGAGGAGCAAGTTTACGATGGTGGGTGTCATTGGTTTGGCTGAAAAATAGAGATTTGGTTAGGTTGTTATCTAGGTCGTGTTATCGACCTTCTCTCTTATTTTTAGCTTCCTCTCGTTGTTTTCCGTCATAGCAACCAATTGGGGAAGATCGATCTAAGCCTCGGGCTTTAAGTTTATGGTCGTTACTAGGGGTGGTGTTGGCTAAAGAGTGGTGGTTTTAGAGAGAGATGCTCAACGGGTCCGCAAGTTAAACCAAACGGATCAATTTTTTGGGTTAATTTAAGGGGATGTTTGGCTCTCTTTTATTGGGCATCCATCTATTTTTTTTTTTATCATAGAATCATATTAAATTAACATCGGGTTTCGATCTTGGAAGTCTTGTCAATTTAGCATCGGATCCAATTAAAGTTCTAAAATGATTCGTATGCCGAGGAATGACCTAATTAACTAAAAGTATGTATTTGGATGTGGATGAAAAAATGTTTTCAAAATTTATTATTTTATTTTATTGTTTATTACTTATTTTTTAGCCATTTTGTTTCAAATAAAACGTTGAGACCACCATCGATCCCTATCAAATCGGAGACTTATTGGTTTAACCTACTTGCCTAATTAATTTAACAAGATTTTTTAGCATTTTCATTATTAGATAAAATATCAAAAACATCGTCTATCCCTAATAAATAGGAGACTTATTGGCTCGACATCACAATGAAATAAAAATCAGATTTTACATATATCGAGACCCCATATAATTTGAATTTTTTTGATTAAGACCTTAAGTTTTTCTATCCAATTTAAGAGTTTTACTCTTATGTTGTTATTTTTTTAGACCCTAATGTACCATGTAAGCATATATGACAAGC